CCCCCCGCCTTCTGCTTTTGGTGGGAAGAGCCATTCTCCTCCCCAGCTGCTCCTCACTCTTCCTCTGCCCCTTGCACATCTCCCCTGCTCTCTGCCCAAGAGAAATTGACGGGCTTGAAACTGACCAGCTTTAAATGGTACAATTTTCGTAACCCTGCTATACCGCCGCCCCGCATTTATCGCGATGGAATTTTTTGGACCCCAATCATCGTGTTATAGCAGGGTTTCACTGTATTAGAATTTTATCAAATCAAAACATTCCTTTCTTATACTGTGCAAGGAAGGTGAATGGGACTATGTCCCCAGCCGCTTTTGATTGCTACAATGTGGTTTTTTGTTTTTTTTTAAGAAAGAGAGGGGGAATCCTAATTCTTTTGCAGGATATTAGTTGCCATATGGATTAATATTGGTTATATATGATTCATTTGTTTGGGGCGGGGAAATAGGGAAATATTCATGTAATTTGCCTGAAATGTTCAGCATGTAGACTTGGTTCTTGATGTGTGGCTTTTAATTATCTGGATGTAAAAATGCACAGGATAAATTACATTTAGGAGACCATGCAGAAATAGCAAGGAAATTAACAACTGAAGGTGAAATTTACCATATGTCTTCCAATAATTAGACATAAAGGCATTTTGGAGCCTACAGGAAGAAGCCTCCCAGCTCAGGTCGACAGACTTGGGTTAGTGAAGCTTGTGCTAATGTACTAAAAATAGTCTAAGGAGGGGGGTGGGCTTCAGAGCCTAAGGTCCAGCCCAAAGTGCTGTCTATATGGCTGTATTTAGAGTGCTAGCGTGAGTCCTGCTAACCAGAGTCTGTTGATGCAGGCTGCAAGGTTCACGTCTGCAGACTCCAAAATGCTATGTGGACATACCTGAAGGAGCACTGACTTAATGCACCCTGTTGGACCTACTTATGTGAGGAAATGCGGTAAACTTCTCCTTCAGTTGTGGATTTCCTTGCTGCTTTTGGTATAAGTGGAACATTCTTCTAACTGTAGTTTTTGGTGTAGTTTTTAATAATTTAGCTTTTTAATACAACCTTTAGCAGAAGGGGTTATAATGATGGATGTGTTCAGGTTCTGGCAGTGATCATCAGTAGACCATATGGCCAAACAAATGGTGTCCTGGGATACAATTGAAGAACTTTCCAAAACTTGCTTGGCTTGTTGTTTAGTCTCTTTGTGAATTCATCATTGTTCAGTGATAACAAATTATTCAGTAAGCATGGAATATGTTTGCTTTTATGTTTAGATTCGGGCTGTCAAGCGATTTAAAAAAAAATAATAATCCTGATTAATCATGCTGTTAAGCAATACGTATACACCTGTACCCCGATATAACGTGACCCGATATAACACAAATTCGGATAGAATGCGGTAAAGCAGCGCTCCGGTGGGGCGGGGCTGCACGCTCCGGCAGATCAAAGCAAGTTCGATATAATGCGGTTTCACCTATAACACGGTAAGGCTTTTTTGGCTCCTGAGGACAGCTTTATATCGGGGTAGAGGTGTACTATTTATATAAATATTTTTGGATGTTTTCCACATTTTCAAATATATTGATTTCAATTACAGCACAGAATAAAAAGTGTACAGTGCTCACTTTACATTTATTTTTATTATAAATATTTGCACTGTAGAAATAAAAACTAGTATTTTTCAATTCACTTAATACAGCTACTGTAGTGCAATATCTTTATCATGGAAGTTGAATTTACAAATGTAGAATTATGTACCAGAAAATAACTGCACTCAAAAACAAAACAACGTAAAACTTTAGAGCAGGGGTAGGCAACCTATGGCACGCATGCCGAGGGTGACACACAAGCTGATTTTCAGTGGCACTCACGCTGCCTGGGTCCTGGCCACCAGTCCGGGGGGGGGCTCTGCGTTTTAATTTAATTTTAAAGGAAGCTTCTTAAACATTTTTAAACCTTATTTACTTTACATACAACAATAGTTTAGTTATATATTATAGACTTAGAGAGCTTCTAAAAACATTAAAATTTATTACTGGCACGCGAAACCTTAAATTAGAGTGAATAAATGAAGACTCGTCACACCACTTCTGAAAGGTTCCCCCTGCTTTAGAGCCTACAAGTCCACTCAGTCCTACTTCTTGTTCAGCCAATCGCTCAGACAAACAAGTTTGTTTACATTTACAGGAGATAATGCTGCCCACTTCTCACTTTCAGGTGACATTGTAAATAAGAACAGGCGTTCACATGGCACTCTTGTAGCTGGTGTTGCAAAATTTTTGTGCCAGATGCGCTAAAGTTTTATGTCCCTTCGTGCTCCAGTTACCATTCCAGAGGATACGCGTCCATGCTGATGATGGATTCTGCTCAATAATGATCCAAAGCAGTGCAGACCGACGCATGTTCATTTTCATCCTCTGAGTCAGATGCCACCAGCAGAAGGTTGATTTTCTTTCTTGGTGGTTCGGGTTCTGTAGTTTCCGCATCCGTGTTACTCTTTCAAGAATTCTAAAAGCATGGTCCACACCTCGTCCCTCTCAGATTTTGGAAGGCACTTCAGATTCTTAAATTTTGGGTTGAGTGCTGTAGCTATCTTTAGAAATTTCACATTGGTACCATCTTTGCATTTTGTCAAATCTGCAGTGGAAGTGTTCTTAAAACGAACAATATGCTGGGTCATCATCCGAGACTGCTATAACAGGAAATGTATGGCAGAATGCAGGTAAAACACAGAGTATGAGATGTACAGTTCTCCCCCCCAGGAGTTCAATCACAAATTTAATTAATGTATTATTTTTTTAACAAGTGTCACAAGCATGCCCTCTGGCAGGGTGGCTAAAGCATGAAGGGGCATACAAATGTTTAGAATCTCTGGCATGTAAATACCTTGCAATGCTGGTTACAAAAGTGTCATGTGAATGTCTGTTATCACTTTCAGGTGACTTTGGGCAGCATTATGGGGGGAGGGGATAGCTCAGTGGTTAGATCATGGGCCTGCTAAACCCAGGGTTGTGAGTTCAATCCTTGAGGGGGCCATTTAGGGATCTGGGGCAAAAATCTGTCTGGGGATTGGTCCTGCTTTGAGCAGGGGCTTGGACTAGATGACCTCCTGAGGTCCCTTCCAACCCTGAGATTCTATAATTATCTCCCATACATGTATACAAACCTGTTTGTCTGAGCGATTGCCTGAACAAGAAGTAGGACTGAGTGGACTTGTAGGCTCTAAAGTTTTACATTGTTTTGTTTTTGAGTGCAGTTTTGTAACAAAAAAAATCTACATTTGTAAGTTGTGCTTTCACGATAAAGAGATTGCAATACGGTACTTGTATGAGGTAATTGAAAAATACAGTTTCTTTTGTCATTTTTACAGTGCATATATTTGTAATAAAAATAATATAAAGTGAGTACTGTACACTTTTTGTATTCTATGTTGTAACTGAAATCAATATATTTGAAAAACAGCCAAAATATTCAATGAATTTAAATTGGTATTCTATTATCTAACAGTGCGATTAAAACTGCGATTAATTTTTTAATTGCGATTTAATTTGAATTAATCGCATGAGTTAACTGCATTTAACTGACAGCCCTAGTTTAGAGAACTACATGAGAACTTGTGACAAGGCAATAAACTTGTCACAAACTTGACCATGGTTTGTCATGTTGAATTG